TGATTGGTTTCTAATGAGTATAAGGGAGTTACTTGCTCAAGTTTGTAACGCCAGCTACTTGGGAGGCTGAGTTAGGAGGACCACTTGAGCCTAGTTATTGAAGACTATAGTTGGCTATATCTGTGCATTGCAGGCTGGGTGACAGAGCGAGACTCTGTCTCTTAAAAAAAAAAAAGAAGAGAGGGAGGGCTCGGCTGCTAGGGCGCCAGCCACATACACTGGAGCTGGCGGGTTTGAACCCAGGGTCCCAGCCTGCCAAATGACAAGGACAACTACAACAAAAAAATAGCTGAGTGTTGTGGAGGGTGCCTCTAGTCCCAACTACTCAGGAGGCTGAGGCAAGAGAATTGCTTGAGCCTAAGAATTTGAGGTTGTTATGAGCTGTGATGTCACAGCACTCTACCTAGGATGACATAGTGAGACTCTGTCTCAAAAAAAAAAAGAAAAGAATACCAACAGGAAAGCAGTTAAGAAAAACCACCTCCTTAGTTTGGTAAATCAGAGCATTACTCTGCAACCAGGAGAAGCATTTCAGGACCTTTGATCATTTGTCCTCTCATGCATAAGTAGATGCAACTCTGATCATGTTTTATTGTTATTGGAATGGATTCAACTCACTTGACATTTAAGTGAACATTTTTTGCATGGTGTGTTTACTTGGACTAGAGTCCAGGGCACTTATCATGTTTCTGTTAGCAATTGTATATCCTCACCAAACTTACTGGCATTAGAGGTGCTTAAAGGAGTGAGAAAAACAATTTAAAGTCAGAAGTATTTCACAATATTGGTGTATTGTCACTATAGACATCTCAAACGAGTCAGAGCACTTATTTTTAAGTATACGATTCAGTGGCAATAGTTAAGTATATTCACGGTGTTGTGTAATGCTCATCACTGTCGATTTCCAGGACTTTTTCATCATCTCAAACAGAAACTTCATACTCATGAAGCAATGACTTTTTATTCCTTCCTCCCCTCAGTCCCTAGTAACCTCTAATCTACTTTCTGTCTCTGTGAGTTTGCATATTCTGAATATTTCATGAATGTAGAATTATATAATACTTGTTTTTATGTCTGGCTTATTTCTGTTAGCACAATGTTTTTAAAGTTTGTCCAGGTTGTAGCATGTATCAGAATTTTATTCCTTGTTAAGGCTGAATGATATTACATCAGAGGCATATGATACTTTTGTTTTTTGAGATGAGCTGGTCTTGAACTTCTGGCATCAATTGATACTTCCTCCTTAGCCTCTCAAAGTGCTAGAATTAGAGGCGTGAGCCGCCACGCCTAACCACATTTTATTTATCTGTTCATCTGTTGATGGACATTTGGATCATTGCCACCTTTTGCTATTGTGAATAGGTTTCTAAGAACATTGGTGTACAAGGACCTGAGTTCCTGCTTTTAGTTCGTTTAGGTATATACCCAAGAATGGAAATGCTAAATCATGTAGTTAATTCCATGTTTAGGTTTTGAGGAACTGCATACTGTTTTCCACAGAGGCTGTAACATCTTGTATTCCCTTTAGCAATTCACAATTTCATATCCTTGGAGAGTTGTGAAGATGAAATGTGATAAATTTATACTAGATCCATTGAGTTGTATATTAACAATTTGAGTAGAATAAACTGAACTTCACAGGGCCTATGGTGAATTGGTTTGCATAGCTAAAAGTTTCATTATTTATAGTTTTGACTATAAAGTAATATACTTTTAATAAACTATACAGACTTCTTCCTCTCTTTTTTTTTCTTTATTTTTTTTTTAAGGAGCAACAGGGTCTGACTCTTGCTCAGACTAAAGTACAGTGGCCTAATTTTAGCTAACCGTAATCTTGAATTCCTGGGCTCTAGTGATCCTCCTGCCACCTAAAAGCAAGACTACCTTTATATAGGAATCATACTTTGTCTTTTTCTTTTTTCTGAAAGGATTTGAGGTAAAATGCAAAGTTAAATACATCTAAACTGAGTCAGAAGACGAAATTTTTTTTTTTTATTAAAGAAAGCCCAGGCTGGGTGCCCATAGCTCAATGGTTCGGGTGCCAGCCACATGCTGTAGGGCTGGTGGATTCGAATCTGGCCTGGGCCTGCTCAACAACACAAAAATAGCCAAGCATTGTGGAGGATACCTGTAGTCCCAGCTAGTAAGAAGTCTGAGGCAAGAGAATCGCTTGAGCCCAAGAATTTGAGGTTGCTGTGAGCTATGACATCACAGCACTCTACCAAGGGTGACAGAGTGAGACTGTGTCTCAATTAAAAAAAAACAAAAACGAGGCTTGGCGCCTGTACCTCAGTGGTTAGGGCACCAGCCACATACACCAGGGCTGATGGGTTCAAACCCAGCCCAGGCCTGCTAAACAACAATGACAGCTACAACCAAAAAACAGCCAGGCATTGTGGCGGACACCTGTAGTCCCAGCTACTTGGGAGGCTGAGGCAAGGAAATCACTTAAGCCCAAGAGTTTGAGGTTGCTGTCAACTGTGAGGCCACAGTACTCTACCAGAGGTGACATAGTGAGACTCTGTCTCTAAAAAAAAAAAACAAAAAAAACCAAAATGAAACAAGAAAGCCCATAAAAAATATACTCCCAAGTAGGTATTATCCTTCTTATGGTCCCCTCATTAAGGAAAACTTATTCCAATATTACTGTTATCTCTTAGACATTTTAGGAATTCTTTTAGAAATATATATTATCTCTGGGAATGATTGTTCTAAATGAGTGAAAGCTCATTTAGATGTGTAAGTTTTTTTTGTTTTTTTTTTTTTTTTAAGAGAAAGTCTCACTTTGTCACCCATGGTAGAGTGCTGTGGACTACAGATACCTGCCACAACACCCAGCTATTTTTTGTTGCAGTGTGGCCGGGGCCGGGTTTGAACCTGCCACCCTCAGTATATGGGGCCAGCTCCCTACTCTCTGAGCCACAGGTGCTGCCTTAGATGTGTAAGTTTTTTTTTTTTTGAGACAGAGCCTCAAGCTATCCCCCTGGGTAGGGTGCTATGGTATCATAGCT